CCTATCGACCCATCAACTCATGAACCGGGGACCAACGGCTTTACTTCCCATCCGAAGGAAGGCGTGATCAGAGATGTTATGCCTCAGAACATCCCGGTGGCGCCGACTGGGATTGAACCCAGGCCTGTTGGGGTGAGAGGTAATCACGCTTACCACTACACCACCGGCGCCGTTAGGGTTCGGTCATTGCGGTCACTATTTTCCTGGTTGCTATGAACGGGATCTTGATGACAGATGACGTAATTCTCTTGAATCGGCCGTACTCTTAAAGCCCTACATAGGAAACTTCAGGCAGCTGTATCGGACACACAAATTTGGGCGTCCCAGGAGGGATTCATGCTCTCAGCCGACAAAAGCGTGGTCTCTCACATCTGCCGATCCTCACACCGCCCATTACAATCAGCCATCAAGTGTGATGATACCACAATACCTTTCCGGATACAATACTTGGGGTGCTCTTGGGCGGGCTTTGTGCCTCGTTCTTCATTTTAACAATGTAAGGAATCCAGCATTTTACGAGCGATCATGGCCGCCACAATCTGGTTGTGTTTCTGGTAGGGAACATATGATTTGAAGTTTGGCTGTAAACGGTAAAATTTAATCGTTTATACGTCAAACGACATAACTCAAACTTCAAATCGAATGTTCCCTACCAGAAACTCAGTCAGATTGTGGCGGCCATCAGCACTCGTAAAATGTTGGATAGCTGCCGCACAATACTTAGCTTACTGCGAACACTTTCAAGTCATCATCGTACTAACAACATGAACATTATTCTTAGGGTAGCAAAAGCCATGGTCAACAGTAAACTCTTCTACGGAATTGAGATTTTCTGTACGGCTAGCGACCTCTTCACTGCGCGGATCGGTCCCACTTATAATCAACCCATCCATATTGCAGCTGGGCTCCTACCATCCACTCTTGCGGACTCGGCATGTGTTGAATTCGGTGTTTCTACCTACTACCTACTGGAGAAGACTGCTGGGAACGAAGAAGTCTGTCTCCTTAGAGAGAGGAACAGAGCTCTAAGGAATCTGGCCTATCAGGAGCTCCCCCAGTGTCGAGACTACACTGGACCGGAACTACGGGATGGGCAGAACCAAACCTCCACGTTGACCTCTCGGTTGTTAAACGATTTCAGGCTGGTTACAATTTGCGGCAAATGAAATGCACGGATATGTGACAGAGCTGCTCAGGACGAAATACATTGAATTGCACATCCCGCTGCTAATTTTCTTCCCACTCCTGGACCAGTTCCCGTGTTCTCTGCGAAAAGTGCGGCAATCTTCTACGCCATTACCATGCAGGCCAGCAAACCGCTTTGTCTTCTTTCGGACTCTACAAGTGTTTTAACAGCTTTGGAATCCCAGACATCCATGGATCCAAGGGATCCGAATGGAAGCTCCGTCGAACACTACTTTCCTATGGATCCCCGGGAACTGCGACATCCGCGGGAATTGTGAAGCAGACTATCTTGCGGCTATGGGTCGATCTGGACGGCTCGCTACTAAAACCGTTCCTGGACAAGATATTAAGGTTTAGGTGAAGTTCAAACTTCGGAACGTTTGGGCCCAGCCATAGGAAACCGTTTCTTCGCAAAATCAAAGGGGAAACCACCAAGTGGCAGGATTCCTCAAACCGTCAGGACCAACTGATTCTTTCTCGTCTCTGCTCAGGACGGCTTCGTTCCGAAAACATTACGTTATTTGCAACACAACGATGACGGTAGAGCACCTTTCAGTAAACTGCCAAGGTTTCCAGGGAATTAGTAAGATTTATGGGATTCCGACCAACATTAGAAACGCACTGGCCCTTAAACCGAAGCAGCTGTTATATGCTTCATCAAGGACGCCAACATGCATAAGAACATTTGACCAAACAAGAACCAACCATAACCAACCCACTGCATCGAACCAGGACCAACCTCTATAACGAACTCTGAATTCAACACCATGACAATTTGCCGACCAAATGCACCAAACCAGGAACAGCTACTAACTACGACAGCCAACTTTGATAAACAAATACTGTGTTACTAAGGAGGTCACTAGGGGGGGGGGGGGGGGCTTCAGGAGTCCCTAATAGTCAAGAGATGAACCAGCCTATGGCTGAAAGTCTCCTTATTAAAGATAACCTATCCTAACCAAGATAATGTTGAGAGTTCTGATTTGAATTCTTAGGTGAATCTGAGGAATTTAATATGAATCATGAGGTATAACTCCAAGAGAATTCCGATTAGAGTTCAAACATAATTATAGCTATAATTTAAAGGGTGTTCTGATGATAATTTCAAAGGAATACTGCGGAAGGTTCAGAAAAGAATATCATGTAAATCGGAAAAATATCAAAGAAATAGTACTGGAAGGATGATTCTTAAAATAAATTAGAGTTGAATTTAGAAGCAATTCTGAAGGATAGTTTAATGAAAATTCAGCAGAGAATTCCAAGGGATTTCTGAGGAGGATTCCGACGGATTACTTACGAGAATTTCGAGAAGAATTTCAAAGCAATCTGATTCTTATAAAAGTGGCAAAGGATTCCAAGGAAATGCTTAAAAGAGTATCAATGGAGAAACTTTACCCTACCTGATAGTGGTGTAAATATGCGTGGACGAGCTACAGTTACGTCAAATCGACGATCAAATGCATTGTTTACAAAAGCTGATACGTCCCTTCGAAAAAGTAATCGAGATATGAAGAAGCTCTACGCAATAGAATGTTATACAAAATAACGAACTCTGTTTGAGGGATCTCCAAGCGCAATCTCACGAACACTAAAATTCAACATCCATATATAAAAACGAAGAAGAAGAAGAACCAACAAGGTATCGCGATATCACAACTTCTTAAAAAGTAAGCAAACGAATGATCTTCAGGAGAAATGGACTCGGTTAGATTCGGAGAAAGAGAGAGCTACGAGTCAAGCGATGTAACGACAATCTGAACTAAAACTAAGATTTGTTCATAAGAAATAATATAAATCCTACTCTATAAGTTGGACAGTAGAGTAAGTAGGAGTTAGTCGTGACGGTTAGTAAATAGGGTTAGTTAGGAGTGAGTGGTGACTCAGGTTAGTCAAGTGTTTAGTGATGACTGGTTAGTTAAGAGGAGTCAAGAGTGAGTCGTGATTGGAAGTCACGAGTTAGTAGTTACTGGAAATCAAGAGTTAGTCTTCAGCCTAATAAGTACACAGATCAGTTAGTTCGTTAGAAAAAAGTGTAACAACGGTTGACCAAGAAAATAAAATAAAGTTAGAGTAGAAGAAAGGGTGTAGTGTAGTGTAATCTTCATATCCAAAATAGCCTTAATCAACCGGCATGCTTCATCCCAAAGAGAATTCCGAGTAGAGCTCCAAAACAATTTTCTGCTATGTTTAAAGAGAATTCCGTGATAATTCTTAATATGCAATAATGCTATTTTTGGACATGTCATGTGAAAAGAACCATTAATCTTCGCAATGAGCAGAACACTAATAATCATAAATCTGCCATGGTTAGTATGAAGAACTGTCAAGACTATATTATGTTGTTTAACAGCTTATAACACGTTACATCTCCCTATAAAATCTCACATTATAAAGAATAGTCCCTTCCATTTCAAAACTTGGTTAAGCCCTTGTATGCATGTTTACAATCAGGGAGCCTATTGTTTTCGGCAGACAGCAACATGTATGTTCATAAATAGATCTTGATCGAAATGGTGCAAAACCGGAACCACTGGCATGCGTACCACCGTCAACAGAAAACAAACCAACTGCGTCATCCCATTTTTCAGCGATCGACAAAAGCACTGAGTTGTTACGCGTATAATAGTAACTCTTCTTTTGCTGTTGTAGTAGGTATAGTCAGAGCGAGCGACGCTGGGATTGGATCCACTTAACCGATGTGTATGTGCTTATGTGAGACTTGCCGTTCGCAGTCAGTTTTCGCGAAAGCACATTTTTTGTCTACAAGTTGTCAAAAATCGTATTTATATTTGCCCATTTTGTGGTTGTTGTGAGGGCAGCGAACATGATCTTGTTATGCTATTTTCAGATATCAACACCGTGCTGCCGGCTTTCCGCCGTGGTCTCGTGTTGTTGGTTGGTTGGTCGGTCGGTCGAACGTCTCGCGTAGACTATACGCTCACTCACATTCAAAGGATCACGGGTTGGTAGCGGCGATTTCGCCGGATAGATCCGGTGAGCTTAATCGCTGATTTCAATATCGGTATTTACAATAGCGCGAGCTTGATACTTTGGTTTTGTGTCATGCGAGGGGGACAATAAACACCTCTTCATCCACAAATTGGTATCAATCACTGCATGTGTACCTACCTACTCGAAGGTTGAATCGAACTTTGCTGCGGGAGGCAGTCTGAGCGAAATTTGCATCAAAAATACATGAGTGAATCTATTTTTGGGCGTACGATTTTTCTTTCGCATCGACGACGTTCGCTTTTCTATAACAGAGAGGTACCCCCGTCGCAAATGTTGAGTAGAGTAGCTAACGTTACAGCGCACAGGTTTTTCGTTTACGCTTACTATTTTTGATTGAACACATCGAGCAGTGAGTGAAGTGCCTACTTACCCGAAGGCATATAACAGACACGTTTTTTAGGAGATCATTAAAATTAATCTACTGGTTGTTTCGGAATTTGAACAACATGAAATGACGTACTGTAACTTGAAACATCCACAGAAGCATAGGCAAACGATTTCTGTAATGCTTAGCTGCATGTTTCACTTTCAGAAAATAAAATTCGAACGGGTGCAACCTGTTTCGCGAATGACACATGTGCAAATTTCATTAACTGGATGGAATTTTCCACTGTTCGCAACTCGTAAGAATGATGTAAAAGCAACGTGGATAATAATTATCCAGACACTCATTGAAGTCGCCCTATCATCGGGAAGCACCTTTTCGTTTTGCGAAATGATCTCAAGTGTAAATCAAAAAATATCCTACGTCATGATTACGTGCTAAACATTCGTCGGACTATTAAAAATCTAGAAATACTTACATCACTCTAGTTTTCCTGATGGCACTTTCCGCGGCGCTTCTATCAACGAGTAAACAAACCAAACGGAACCTTTTGTTTACTTTTGGGGAAAACTACCCTCTTATTCCGACGCAAAAAAGCACATGCACCGTTCGGCTGAAAAGACCACACTCTCGTGGTCTTTGGGTGTTGCTGCTTGTCGTCAACCGAAAACGGACCAAAACAGAAGGTAACCGAAAATAATTTTCACACACTGTACGAATTTCTTGACTCACTTCGGCGACAGCGGCCTGCACCACGCAGATGGTATGATTAATCTTTCCAACGCAATAACAACCAGAGGATGCGGGGGAAACGCTGGTTGGTAAATATTATGTTCTGAGTTTGTATTTTTTGTCACTGCTATGCTTGCTACCTGGGAGGGAGAAGCAAATACTACACACAAAATCAAATAAATCAATCACAATATTGCGCAAGAAAATTCTTGGCAAATAAAAATTATCAAGTAATTTGTTCCCATAATGAGGGGTTTCGGTTTTTCGTGTCTCTGTTGTTTACGTGTTACCGTCGGATGACTTAATGCTTGTGCATTGGTGCTCAGCACGGAAAACAAGATCGACGGAAAAAACAAAGCAAAGGACTTAATGCTTGTGGAAAGTTGGAGTTGAAAAATCACTTGTAGAGACTCGTAGTGAATCAGCCAAAATGAAGTGTCAGATAATGCGGCCGGAACAGCAGAAATTATCCTGGATTGGTTTTTTTGCGCTTTCCTACTGATTATATCACAAGATCCCAATGGATTAAGTTCTGTCGGATGGATTCCGGAACCGGCGAAATTAAACCAAGCTCGCGAGTCTGTAGCGTATGTGTTGACGGTACAAGTGTTTTGCATTTTATCAATGTTGCTATGATCTTTTTTAATTATTTGCAGGCCCATTTCTTAGAGGACTTCTTCCGCGTCGATAAAAATGGGAAGAAAACGAAAAAAAAGATGTCGTTCCGTCGATTGAAGCTTTCTTGCTACCTCCTGAAGACGAACCGGAAGAGAGCGATCGGTTGTTGGACTTGTATAAATCCCGTCCCGTTGATAGCCGAAGTATGTTGAGTTGATTTGAGCTGAAATTTTGTTGTTACTAACTGTTATGAAATGATGAATAAATGTGTGAATATTTTAAGCATTTCCTTTATTTACCAATAACAGTACATCACATTAACAAACAATCCCATAAAGATGGTCAGATATAGACATTTGAATACCCGAACCAAACCCGTACCCAATTCATAAAAATTTCAAGAACCCGAACCCGACCTGACCACTGTAATTAATGAAATTAATTTAATAACGGCTACTTCCTGTGCCGGAGTTGAAGTTTTTGCGTGCCCCTCGATGCTACCCGTACCCAAATATACCCCTTACCCGATCCGAACTCAAAAATATTTTCTTCGTATACTCGTACCCGACACGAACCCAAAAATTTAGAGTAACCGTACCTGAATATCTCTACAACCCCCTCCATTTTCGAAAACTATCAAATTTACGATATAACATGCTTGATACACTACAATTTAGCTAAATTACATACCGATTCCTGAACTGAAGAAACGAAAATTTTGCAGTGCAAATTGTTTTCAAGCAAGAAAATATTTTGTATTCGATATCAATACTTCCCATTGATTGATGTTTTGTACTGCTGGCTCCCACTGACAGTTTGTGACAGCTCATTTCTGGCTTCACTTGACATTCACATTTTCCGAGTCTGTTTCTCCCTCCCAGCTTGCTACTATAGTCAATCAACGGCGATGACCTCGACACCACTACTGATACTAATCTGTACGTAGTATTTTATTATCGTAACAGCGTGCTACGACGATGATGGCGCCCTAATACACACAATCTCGCATGAATGAATGGGCAACGAATTAGATGATGAATGTAGAAAGAGAACACCACTTTGATTTTACGGATTTTACTGACCAAACCGACCGCTAGCTGCTGGCTGATGCGGAAAACTGTAAACACGCTGCTGCGTTGTTTTTATTTTTCGGTTCCGGACTGGATGGATGCGCGTTTTCTTTATTTTTTCATGATGTTTTATTTCATGCGCAGACAGAAACGTCAAGCGTCGCCTCGGGCGTCGCGATGCCTGCTTCGGTGACCCAGTGGTAAAAATATGTGCTGGGGTGCCAGCAGAGATGGATTCTCCAATGCTGTTTGAAAAACACGCTGCAAGTTGGCCCGGAGTTATTTTTTCCAAGATCTCAATGTGGATGTTTTTCATAACGATGCAGGAAAGATCTCAATGTGGATGTTTTTCATAAATTTTAAATTTGAACAATCTTTTTGAAATTATGGACTTAGAAAAATTATACTTGTAGGAATTTTCAAGAACCTATATCCTATACACGCAGAAAAATTTATCGTTGAAACAAAAATATTTGAGGTAAATTTAAACGTAAACTCAGTTTGTTCTGGCCACAAAAATAAACAAGGTTTATTTCAAACGTATTCCATGTTTGAAGTCATGTGATATTAATGTTTAAAATAAAAATAATGTTACGTTTATTTTAAAAATATTCGTGTTGAAAACAAACGTGAAATATTTGTTTGGTTTGACAACTATGCGAACAAAAATAAATATGTTTATTTTAAACATACTTCTTATGTTTGAAAGAAACATACTTTATTTTAAATTATATTAGCATTAAGGATAAAGAAAAAAAAAATGGATTGCAAAGATATGAAAAAAACGAACTGCAGATAGGGCATCTAAACTCCTGCTCTTTTTCCTGCGATTAAGAGTGGGCTGTGAAGGTTGGGGTCCTGGTCCGAGATGCGGGGACCCGTCGAGGTGAGTGTCCGGAGGTTCCAATTCAGTAAAACCAGTGAAACTATGTGATATTAGCGTCGTTTTGTAGTTTCTAACGTTGGTCCTCATACCGGGATCTTTCTACGTTCGGTGTTGGAGGAGGGGGGGGGGGGGACTGGAGGATCCGGAATAGACTCAAAATCTATTTCGGATTTTCGTTTTTCTTTCGACGTCAGTTGTGGAGGAGGATGATACAGGGATCGGCATCAGAAACGACAGAGTGACATCGATACTGTGGGGTTCCTCCGGTTTTAACGAGCTGGAACTTTAAGACACTTACCTAGGTCGGTTTCCGGATCCATGACATGGATTTTTGGCGGGCCGTTTTCAGTTGATTTGTATATGTAGCTGGGGCAATTTTTTCCAAATGTAAACAAGAAGGAAAAAAGGCATGGCACGCTAAAAATCGTTTACCCAAATTCTATATTGTTGAAATAAACATGCTTTTGACTTTAATTCAAACATATATATTTTTGTTGCAAACATGTTTTTAATTTATTTTGAATTATTCATATGTTTATAAAATAAACATTTATATTTTTGATTTAAATGAAAAAAATTCGGCTCCGTGTAACATTGTTCCCTGACTAATACCTCAATGAAAACAACATCGAAAGCTTGTCACGCAAGTAGAAGGAGCACTGTTGGGCACTTTCTGAAATATTTCAATAGTATAATCGTATAATTCCCTTGCAAACCCAAATAAATCTATCTGCGTAAAAATAAATAAAATAAGAGTGATTTGCGGCAAAACCCGCCAGTATTGCACCCAACGTCAGTGCCTATACGTAAGCGTACTACAACGCGGCTTTCAAATAAAGGAGTAACAAGTGTGATACTATCACTTCAGGCTAGAACTTTGGTTCTCTTATGCAATGGTTCATCAGAGAGGGGAAGCTCAGTAATCCTCATCGCATGCTCATGACGCTATTCTGTCACGGCATGAGCCAACGATGCCGGACCTAAACTAACCGTCTCCAACGCTCCACTAAAGGGCGAACACGAAATTATTGCGACTTATTCAACAGGGCATAACTTTTTTACCATAGGGTAAAAATCAACCAAATTTTGCACACTTTCTCATTGATGTGTATTGTGTACATGCTGTCAAACTCGAAGTCGTGTTTTTCGATTCAACGAAAATGGAGGTGAACCAACGCGAGTTGAGAGAACAAATTCTTTCCAAACACCTGGAATTTCCTGACCTGTCGCACCGGCAGTTGGGAAAAATGTTGAACATTCACCATTCAACCGTCTCCAGAGTGTTGAAGCGGTTCCAGGAGCGGTTGACGTTGGACCACGGCAAAGGAGCTGGAAGAAAACCGGGACCGGAGAACAAAAAGACGGAGGGAAAGGTGAAGCGGATGATTAAAGCAAATCCCAACGTCTCAAGCCGTGATTTGGCTAAAAAGATCGGCATGTCGCAGAGCTACGTCCAGAATGCAAAGAAGAGAGCTGGACTACATACATACAAGGTACAGAACTTCCCAAACCGCGATGATCGGCAACAATCGACGGCTAAAACTCGGGCACGGAAGCTCTACGAGAAGATGCTGACAAAATATGGCTGCTGTGTGATGGACGACGAAACGTATATGAAAGCCGATTTTAAGCAAATTCCGGGGTTGGAGTTTTTCACCGGCAAGAGCAAGTTCGATGTGGCCGACAAATTTAAGAAGAAGAAAATGTCGAAGTTCGCCTCCTAATATCTCATTTGGCAGGCCATCTGCTCTTGCGGACTGAGGAGTGAGCCTTTCGTGACAAAGGGCACAGTAAATGGCGAGATCTACAAATCTGAGTGCCTCGAGAAGCGACTTTTGCCGTTCTTGCAGCAGCACGACGAAGCTCCGCTATTTTGGCCAGATTTGGCATCATGCCACTATTCTAAAAGTGTCCTGGAGTGGCATGAGGCCAATTCTGTCCATTTTGCTCCAAAGGACATGAATCCGCCAAACTTTCCGGAGCTGCGCCCGGTGGAGCAGTACTGGGCAATAATGAAGCGGGAACTTCGGAAGAGCAAGAAGACAGTCAAAGATGAGAAGAAAATGTTAATGTTAAGAAAATGGAAAAAAAAAACTGAGAAACTGGTACCGGATGACACTGTAAAGACTGATGGAGGGCATCAAGCGAAAATGCGCTCAATTTTACACTCAAGGCTCCATCGATTAACTTTTCTTTTGATTTTTGAAGTAAATATATGTATAAAACTACCCTAAAATTTTGGTTTGATTCTAAACATTATAAGAAAATTGGCATGACATTTTCGGTGTCGCAATAATTTCGTGTTCGCCCTTTATGAAGCATAAGATTAGGCCCGCCCACCAACGTCCAGGTTAAAAAACTAGCCAAGGGGAGGGAAAACCGGTTCTGTTGCACTTCAAGCACATAATCTACCATGGCGTGATCCGCAAAATCTCCCGCTG